GTGTGATTGGAGCAGCTGGGTGATTGAGGGGCTGGGATATGGTGTGATTGGAGCAGCTGGGTGATTGAGTGGCTGGGCTATGGTTGGGTCCCAGCACTGGGGAGGAAGTTTGTCATAGGTCTCCCAGTACAGAGGAACTGGGGTCTGATCACACAAGCTTTCACTTCTAGATCAGACACCAATACTGGGACCATTTTAGTGGTTCTGGAAGCTGTGGTCATTTTGCAAGTTGATTTATGGGAAACAAATGGTCTCTACCAGTTCTAAGAAAGTATCCCCCATGACCTCCCCCTGTCCTCAAGGAGTACCCATGATCTACTTCATGACTATTCTAAATCAAGATGCTAACAATCAAATGAGCCACAAACCTCTCTCTCGCCCTGTCCAACCATGGGGCAAGTTTTTCCCTGTGTATCTTTCAGGCCCAGCAATAGGATAATGTGGGAGGAAAGCAGCTTATTTGTGCTTTGAGAAGTGTTCCTATTTGTGGAAGGAGAGTTTTACATAACCCCATCTTCAATTGTGAGGAAAGTCCAAATATCTGGAATAATTAGGAGGAATCACATTTGCCCTCAGGTGACCCTTCCAGCCTTTTCGGACAGGATAGAATTTAATTTGGCACACTAGCTACTGCAAGGCGCCCTTTCCCATGCCAATGATGGTGGCACTCTCCTGGGGGTGTATTTTGAGGAGTCTCTCTGGAAAGTTTTGCATTTTCAGTGATATCACAAAGGACCCCCTTCTGTTTACAGTTGCTTAGAACTAAGAAGACAGATATTTACCCAAGTTTTCTTGGCTTCCTCCTGCTCCCTTGATAGTCCAGAGTTCCCTGTGGAGAGAGCCAGGAACACACAGTCAAAGCAAAGCAGCAAGTCGTTAATTTTTAATTCAAAGTGATTTTGTGTTGAATGCAAGCAGATGCTGATAATATCAGAAGTCACAGCATAATTTTTTTGATCAAAGGGCTCAAGTGAGCCTGATGAAGCATGCATCTTGCTCGTCTTTGATAAACCACATCAATTATTCACCGTGAAGGCAGACATCCTGACATGAAAGCAACAGATAAAGAGCCTAAGCACATGTTCAAGAGGAGAGCGTAAGAGAGTGGGGGTGGGGCTGGCGGGGCTGGAACAGGTATTAATAACAGAATTATTAACTGGAAACAAAGCCAGGGAAACAGTCCATGGCCACTTTGAACTCACATTTAACTGGTTATAGTACATGGTGTCCTCGGGGCTACTCAACATTTTGGGCTGTTGACATCGTCGGCGAGGTGTTCGCTGCTTCTGTGAAGGACCGTTTTCTGAACCTGCAAGAAAAGATCGAAATTTTATCGTAAGCCAGCCTGGTGTTGGGAAAGCCAAGGGAGAAACTGACCAACATCCTTGTACACATCCTCACACAACTGCCTGGTAGAAACTGGTGAAACTGGGAATTTGTTAGGAACTTTGCCCTGAACTACTAGTGTTAGGAGAATGTCTTCCTAAACACACACGTACACATGCATGCGCACACACACACACACACACACACACACACACACGCATGCACGCACATGCACACAGGAATTGCTGAGTGTAAACAAAGGATCTGTCTGTACTTTTGCCTTAGTCTTTCTTATCTCAGTCAGCAGTCAAGTGACAGAAAGCAAATTGACTTGGTCACCCCGACACTGGTAAGGCAGAGCCAGTGGTCAGGCTCTATCCAGTGGAGAGAACCTTTTCACTCACATAAGTCAGCTACGACAGCAAAGGCACTCTGGGGTCCCGTGCTACACATCCTACAGGCAGAGTTCAAAGACATCTGGAAAACACACACTCGGGGGTAGATGGAAAGCAAACCTTTTGGTGAGATAAGTTTTAGCGGGGTGGGATGGCTTGCTCTAGTATTTACTGAAATGCTTTGAACACAATCATTGATCCATGCAATTTCTGGAAATGGCAGTAAGGAGAAAGGAAAAGGGTGATTACTCTCCGAGTTAGTACTGATTTCAGAACCCTGGACCAAGAGAGCAATGGAGATTAAGAAACCACGTGTCAGATGAAATCATGATTCATTTGCCTGCCAAGCAAATGATGTTCTTGGAACCTGTTGTCCTCTGGCATTGAATCTGAATCAGAACTTATAACTTCTTGCCAACACACACAGACACACATATACAGTTTCTAGAGTATTGTTTATGATATAATAATCTAGAGAAAACATATCACTTTCCTGAATTAAGCTAGTATAAAACATAAAACTACGTATTAAGCTAGTAAAATATAACTCAGTAACTAATTGTACACTGATGGTTAATTTTGTAATCATCATATTGATGGTTAATTTTGTGAACTAATATTTATCATTTTAAATTAATAAAATTGTAACTGATTTGTAAAGAGCTGGGGATTTATGACGAATTATATTTTAACTGCAATCAGGACCCCACTATTTAAAGACATTTGAGGGAACCCCTGAGTGAAGAAGGACCAAGCCAGGACCGGGATGGGTGCATCGCAGGTGACCAGCTTCGGTCAGGGCGAGGTTTTGCAGCTTGGCTATTCTTGAAGTTAGGAGCTCCGCAGTGAGTGGCCAGGATGAGTGGACTCATACAAGACTTCATACATGCTAAATGCCTATTTTTTCAAGGGAAGGAAACTGAGACCATGAATGATGACTTGGTCATCCAAGACCAAGTCTCTTAGGCCTCTTCTTACCTCCTTTTTTTTTTTCCAACTGTGATATACTGTATGTCTTATAAGAAATATTTTCTAGATGTCAAAACACTGCCATCGAGCTGATTCTCACTCATAGTGACCCTCTAGGACAGTACAGAACTGCCCCTTTGGGTTTCTGAGGCTGTCGATCTCATCTATTTATTTATTTATTCATTTATTTATTTATTTATTTATTTTTTAATAACTTTATTGGGGGCTCTGACAGCTCTTATAACAATCCATACATCCATTGTATCAAGCACATTTGTACATATGTTGAGGCTATTAATCTTAACAGGACCAGAAAGCCTCATCTTTCTCCTTGGGAGAGACTACTGGGTTTCTACTTCTGACCTTGTGGTTAGCAGCACAACTCGTGACCCACAATGGTAAAAATAGTCACCATTCTAGCAAAAAGATGTTGTGGGTTCTAATAGCCTTCTAGACCAATGTCCCTGCCCACTTCCTCGGGAATACTTTCAGGAGGGAACACGGATGTCACTACTTAAGCTGGCTTTGTCCTGGGAATGCAGAATAGAATGGGTTCTTCCAAAACGTTCTGGCCCAACATACCTACCCATCGTGTGCTTTGTGGAGCTCACATGGGGGTGGGGTAGGGGGGCAGGCCCTTTTGTGCTATGTCCTTTCTGATGTAAAGATTAATAAACAGAAGTCCTCAGAGGTTGGTGACCATGGACTGCATGTCCAGCATGTACTCAGGAATTCCATTCCCTGACAACTCAAAGGGTGGAGTGGGCTTGACTTTATAATGTGCTTACATGTGACCAGGGGCCTTTATTTCTATCGTCTCAATGAAAATGCTTCATGTATGTCGTTTTCAACTTTTGCTCCGGATGAATTTGTTCTTTCCCCCCTTGAAGTTTAGAAGGCATGAAGTTATTGGATAGAGTTTTCTCAACTAAATATTTCCCTCGTTGTGGATAGAATGATATTCTTCTCCATATAGGGGCCAGCTTGATGGGGCCATGATTCTCAGTGGTTTGGCAGTTATGTAATGATCCCCCGCCACGATGTGATCCGATGTGATAAAGCAATCAGCTGTAAAAGGATCGTGAGTGGCCCCACTCTCAATCCTGTCACATCTTTGATCCAAGGTAAGAGGGAAGGGAGTATGTTTTAAAAGGTAAGCTTTAGGGGGTGGGCATAGCTTGCTCTAGTATTTACTGGACTGTGACTTGAAGCACTTTTATTGTATCAGAGATAAAAGGTGTGAGAAGTCAGCAGAGAGAGAGGGGGGCGTACTACTAAGAAGGGCGTAGCAAGAGCAGAGCATGTCCTTTGGACCCAGATCCCTGTCCTGGGGACCTCTTAGATCCAGGGGAACATTGATTCCAAGACACATGGGAATCTCCAAGGAATGCTGGGCCTATAGAAGCTGAAAGAAGCTAGGGCGTTCCCTCCTAAACTGTGAACTGACAGAGAAAGTCTATGAGAGCAAGTCCATTAACTTGGACTTCTTGCCTTCTAAACAATTGGAGCCCCGGTGGTGTAGTGGGTTATGTGTTGGATTGCTAACCAAAAGTCAGCAGTTTGAACCCACCAGCCACTCTTTGGGAAAATTATGAGGCTTTCTACTCCTGCCAAGATTTACAATCTTCACAAACTCACACGGGCTGTTATACTCTGTCCTTTGTGGTCTGAGTCTGCTGGATGGCAGTGGGTTTGGTTTTGTTTGAATTGTGAGAGAATACATTTTTGCTTGTTAAAATCATCTACTTCTGTTATTGCAGTGCTAAATAACTAAGATCTACTAATCCTATTTTTACAAACTATTGGTTTCTGATCTGCCATTGAGTTGATGCTGCTGCCTAGCGACCCCCACAGGACAGGGTAGAACTGCTCCTCTGAGTTTCCAAGACTGGGACTCTTTACTGGAGTAGAAAGCCGTCTTTCTCCTGAGGAGAAGTTAGTGGTTTCAAACCGCTGACCTTGCAGTCAGCCGACCAATGGTTACCACTATGCCACTGGAGCCCTTTTGGAATGTGTAATATATTAAAATGTGGTGTAAGCAGGCATTTCTCTTAGCACCAGGCTTCACTGTTCCCTATTTTAAATCTAGCATCATTTCCATATTTCATGAACTTCTGAAAGGGGCTGAGTCTTTTGGCGCTGGAGCAAATCAGCATTTCTCTGATAGATGATCAATTAGAAGCAACAGAATAAATGGGAAACAAGTCATTATTTTAAAAGTTCTTGGAACGACTTGATAACAATGTGTAGAAGATACAGTTTCAAACCAGACTTCGTGACAGTTACCTTGTGCACAAATTACTTTGCTGGGTGTTGCGACGGAAACAAAAAGAAATAAGACTAATCCTGCCTTCAGTCCGGTAGAGGCCAGAGTCTGGAGAGCTTACGGCCACACATCGGTGCTGCTGGATTCCCGCTAGGGGCTTTTATTTTTACTGTAAGCTGTTTTCTTTCCTCAACGTACCTTTTCATTCTCACAGGCCACAATACATTCCAGATGAGCCGTAGAGTTAAACAGTTTAAACATTCTCATAAAAAGGAGGAAATGAAATAAATGATTTTAACTGTGGAAGAAGATATCAGCAACAAGGATGGGTTCAATTATACTAAAGTAAAAATATGCTGTATGATTGGCAGCAATACAACTAAGATGAAAGGAAGGGCAACGGAGTGATAACAGCAAGTAAGAAATTGCGCGTTGACTATTCATAACGTGGAACGACTCAGACAAGGGAGAGGCTCACAGAACAATTCTTACGTGTTGTAATACAACGGTAAGTCGGAAAGTATTGCTATAAGATCATAGTAACCCTTATTAAACAAAAACATCAAAATGGGAAGCTGTTAGTTCTTGACATATTCTCTAGCCAGGTTCATACATCTCAGAAGACAGTATTTCTACCTCTCTAACCCTTCCCAAAGAATTCCATACTCTTTGATGGACATCACGTCCAAATGGGAATTGGGGCACCCTTATGGGACTCGATTTGTGCCTCTTTTAAATGTTCTTTGAGTTTGGGGAAAAGAGGAGTCAAGAGATGCGAAGGTCAGAGCTGCGGGGCTCGGTGAGCAAAGACTCCCAACAGAAGTTTCATGGGACAGCCCCGGCTTCCCTCAAACAACGAGCAGGTGCGTCATCCTGATGGGAAGAAAAAAAAAAAGTCCTCGGTGCAGTTTTCTTTTTTTTTTTTTTTTTTCGGTACAGTTTTCTTGACCTTATTTTCACCTATGCAGTTTTACATTTTCTGAACACGACTTCATAAGAAGCTTCTATGTTCATGCCGTGTCCTTCAAGAAAATTGATCAAGCTTACCCCTTGGGAACCTGGAAAACCAGCTGCCTACCATCGCCTTCTGAGCCGACCATTCTGCCTTGGACTTAACTGGCCCAGGATATCCCAGAGGATGCCAGTTTGACCGGACTTTTTTTTGGGGGAAGACACTCCATGGTAACGAAGAAATGTGCCCTGGACCTAGGTGAGAGAACCTGTCTGCAGGTACCCCCTGATGGAAGAAACATGTCCAAACACCTTTGTTTGGAATGAGTTCCTGTTTGTACAAACGGGAACCCTAGCAACAATATTTTCTGACTTTTGCCCTCATAAAATCTTAGGAAACAA